CGTGTTAAACGCTAAGTTAAACTCAGCCATAATCTGCCTACAATCCTCAATCGTGCCATGTTTAAGAATATTCTCAACAATATCGCGCTTATTAAGGACTGCTAAATCATTTATCTCATCCATATTTACCAAGTCAAGCTATCCTATCGATGTACAAGACAATGTCCATAATGAAAGCGTAGAAATCAAAAATATACTCACGGACTTGTCCAGATGAGCTACTCCAAGTACACCTCTCAAAAGGGACCAACGAAAAACACTATTTATAAATAAATTTCCTTCACTTCCTAAATTTTAGAATCACACTCGTAGAGCAAAATAATAATACGAACTCAAACAACTTTCGTATCGAACTGTTTAATCATCTCAATGTCTATTTTTAAAATTATATATAGAACGCACACTAAACAACTTTCGCTCAAAGCTTTAAATGAAACGTACTCGAACTGAGAGGTTTTCCTCCTTTTATAAGATTTTAAAATCGCGTGCGAGAATTTTCTAGTACTTTCTGGAAATCAACAAGAGATATTTATTAAATGTTAAATGCACGCGCTCTTGTATTTTCATTTTTTCCGGCTTAGCTTTCTTTTAATATTCGTTACGCGCTGCACTGCGCGGGAAATAAAACCATTTAATTTATAATTGAACTAACATTAGCTTTTTAAATACCAAATTCGTAACAATATGTATAATTCTTATTCAGATTGTGAATTTACAGTTTTACTGCTTAGAAAAAGTTAGCAATTTTTGAAGCAATAAGCGTATATTTCTTAGTAATTTATTGTATTGTACCTCATCGTCAATCGTTACGGTGACTATCACTGTTCGGTTTAACTTTATGTTAGCAATATATATAGCTAATATAATTTAAACTAGATTTAATTTATAATCTCGGCTAATGGGCTGGTTCCATGAGCGTTTTTGAGGTTATCACTATATGTGATCTGAATGCGAGTCAGTATCCCTTAACTGTTTTTAAGATGTTGAAAAGTTTTGAGTGAATTTTTTAGGAAACAAAGTTCTTAACCTCCGTTATACCATTTGAGTTCTTAAGATTTTGCAAAGTTGGTTAATTTATTTATTGGGATAATTAATATTTGTGTTAAGGGATACTGCTTAGTTCATTGTAATTTTTTTATATATGTAATACATTTTTATTGCTTTTTTTAATAAAGTTGTTCTGCAGAGTGAAATTCTGCGCAGTTTATAAATTTAATATTTTTCTTGGGCCAATTATTTCCTTATTTCCAATGTTACAAGTTAAATGGCTGCGATGTGACTGCTGACACGTTTTCTCAGAAGATTCCTAAAGTATCATAACATTTCAATATTTCAGAAAAAGAATCATTCAAACTATCGAGTAAGAAACTGTTTAAAAAATTCTAATTTTACTGTAGAATTTTTATGTAATTTTTTATGTAGTTATCGTGGTGGTTAAGAAGGTGGATATAAATTATGCTTTAACAAATGTTTAATGCATATCTCATGCAATCTGTTTGCTAAAAATTCAAGATGTATATGTTTTTCTGGAGATACATCAGGATCGTATGCAAAGGAGGGTTGGAATCAAAAAAGAGAAAAAAGTTGGAAGAATTTACGCGGCCATCGGTCCCAGGTGTGTCTTTTAGGCATTTTTCCGGTACGTTTAAAAGCCAGACGAAGGCTGGCCGCATAGCGGCTAGTTAGATAATAAAGAATCTGCATGAATGTATCTATGTTTCTCTCACTGTGAAAAAACATTGATACCTAGAGCTATCAAATTTTGAAAAACAGTCGTCCACAAGAATACGGGCACCTGGAAGCCTGAATCTTAAATTCTGAATTTGTTTTTTTATCTATTTCATATTTTTTAAACTTAAATTTTTTTTTCATTATTAAACTCAACTATTTTAAAGGGAGCAGTGGCAACACACTGTACGGAATAAAATATATTTATCTCCAGAGCGCAAGACTGTCTATCGGAAATTCTAAGGATATGCTATTTTTAAATATTTTTAGGCCAAAGGGGTGTTTGCCCAAATGCTTTCGAAACGTGTATGCTTTCAGATTTTTATTGCTCAATTTGTTTTATAAAGTGTAATATAATTACTTGAATTTTCAGTATTATTTTAAATATGTATGCGTGTGTAAGATAAAAATGTAAATTGCATATGTTTATATGTAATACATATGAAATAATAGAAAAAGCTGAATATATAGTGCTTTTTTGTTCTAGCAAATACATGATGCAACTCAACTCTTGCTGAGATCCGATGGCTGAGTGACGTCATTTCGAACTATGAACTCTCGTTGAATTGCACGAGAACTCGGAACGGAGAAGTCGCAAGCTGCGTCGTGCCACATTTAAACACTTTTAATTATGTAAATATTCTGCAACCTGTTTGCGTCTTCATTAAATATGTTTGTGTAAAGAAAGTATTTATCATTTATGGATTATTCCCTTCAACATTTTGCAGATAGAGATGCACAGAGGAGACTTCAACCAGTGGCCCTGGCAGAACCCATTGGGACAAGGTAAACAGTTTTGTTTTACCTTGATTAATTAGTTATAAGTAACGATAAGAGGAAATAAAATAATAATATTGTGGCGCCATAACTTGGGGCCATTGGGTTGAATTTGAACTGAAATTTTATAGATTTTACTTAAAGCAAAAACATGGATTTAGAAAAATTAAAAAAGAAACGATCTGCTATAAGAGCAGTAGTTACGAGGCTAATAAATAAGATAGAAACAGAAATTGCTAATGAGGGGGTATAAAAATGTAATTGAATAAATGGTTGCTCAGTTAATTAGTAAAGAAGAAGAACTAATCTTAGAGGATAATGGTATTGAAACTTTAATTGATGTAACAAATTTAGATGGTGAAATAATGTCTAGAGAAGAGCATAAAAGTAAAATTATTGTTTGGAAATTACGCGCAAAAAGATATTTAGATACTAATCCACATAGCGCTAATTCTACTTCATGCGTAACTGTTACTGAATCTCAAAACAGAATTAAACTCCCCGAATTGGGCCTGGAAATATTTTGGGGAAAGTATGTGTGCAGTTGGCCCGGGTTTTGGGTACGATTTAAGACAGCTGTACACGAAAACGAAAGTCTACATGCAGTAGATAAATTTAACTATTTAAAGTCAATTCTTACTTCTGATGCAGAAACTGCAATACAAGGGTTGACATTAACAGCGGAGAATTATGAGAAGGTGTGAAAATATTAAAAGATCGCTTCGGACTCAAAGAACTAATAATAGATACCCACATGAACAATTTATTAACTCTGACTCAGGTTAAAAGGTCTTGCGATGTGACAGCACTTCAAAAATTATATGATCGTTCTGAAGTACAAATTAGAGATTAGAATCGTATAATATTTTACCGGATTCGTACAGTACCTTATTGTATCCGATATTAATAAAGGTGATTCCGAATGATTTAGCACTAGAATTTAATAGGAAATATGAAGATGATAACCAGACAAAAATTACAAATTTGCTAAATTTTTTAAGAAAAGAAATAGAAAGTCGAGAACGTACAGGATTTTTTAGTTAAGCCAACAGGTTCTGAAGTCGCTGAAAGGAAATCCCATTTTGAAAATAAGCGGCAGTTTCGAGAACGTTTTCGAGACAGCGAAAGAAATCGGGATTATAATAAGGGTAGAATTCCTTCAGCGGCAGCGTTAAACACATCACTATCTAATAGCTGTTTATTCTGTTTTGAAAATCATACGTCAGAATCATGTCAAAAGACCGTGCCAGAAAAAAGAAGTGGAATTTGTTTCATGTGTCTCAAAAGGTATCATTTAGCGAGGAAGTGCATATCGAAACTAAATTTTGGTAATTGCGATCGACGACATCATACATTGATACACTCTGACGAAACGAATGCGTCAGACAAGAGTCCCGTCCAAGGGGCCAGTCTCTTCTGTTTCCGATTGCGCAACAGCAAATAACTCATTTCTTCTGACAGTACGAGCTGAAATTATAAACACAGGCAATTGGCGCCAGCAAAGCGTTCGCTTGTTGTTTGATTTAGGATCGCAGCGAACATTTATTAGGGAGGACATCTGTAAGAAATTAAAACTTTCGGCTATTGGAGAAGAAAAAATAAAAGTATTCTCTTTCGGTTGCACTACTTCTGAAGCGCAGAACGTTAAAAAAACCAGGCTCATTTTGCGTAATTCGAAGTATCGATATGAAATCAAAATAGAAGTTTTAATTATTCCTGTCATTAATGGATCACATATTCATTCCCCCCTAGAAATGAAATAGTTAATCTTATTAAAAAACAGGGCATACAACTTTCCGATGAATGGGGACAAGGGAATAAACCGCCGAAAATTTCTTTACTGATAGGAGCGGATTTTTATTGGAAAATAGTTACGGGTAAGGATCACAGACTGTCTAATTTCTTAGTAGCGGTTGAAACAAACTGGGTCGGACCATTAGTGGAACAGAAAGGGCTTACGGAATTTCACCAACTAATGTGAATACGATGAAGGTTGTGGTTCATAATAATAAAGATAACACAGAACAAATCACTGTCTAGTTTGCTGAAGAACTTCTGGGTGCTCGATTCTATGGGGATAAATTATGATTCGAATAAGGAACTCGAATTAGAAGATAATTTAGTTTTCGGTAATTTCAAAAGATCTGTGAAATTTGAAAACAATCGTTATATCGTGCGCCTTCCCTGGGATCATAATTCAAATGAGCTTGGAGATAATCTGGAGATTGCTAAAATTAGATTTAAGAGTTTAAGTCGTAGATTTCAAAATAATCAACAGTTCTATGATAAGATATCGCGAAGTAATTGATAAGAACTTAAAAGAACAAATCGCCGAACAGACTAACATTGAAATTGGACCAAAAACGTATTTTATGCCACATCAAGCCGTTATAAGAGAAAACAAGGAAACTACAAAACTCCGTGTGGTTTTTGACGCTTCGTCACATGCGGAGCATTGTTTATCGTTAAATGACTGTTTACATTCAGGTCCTAAGATGTGTCCAGACATACTAGAATTGCTCCTTCGTCAAAATCGAATTGCGTTAACATCTGACATCGAACAAGCATTCTTGCAAATTTCTCATGCTGATGAAGACAGAAACGCAGTCACGCTTCTATGGAACGATGGTGAATTAAATGGAACCAAAATAAAGGCTCCTCGTATGACAAGGGTCATTTTTGGAGCAACATCTAGTCCGTTTCTTCTCAGAGCTACTCTTAATGTACACGCTAACAAATACAAGTTACAGTATCCAAACGTATTTTCCATGCTAACTGAAAATATGTATGTTGACGACTTAATCGCTGGAGCAGATGAAGAATCAGAAGCATTCGAGGAATCGGAACATATTAAACGCATACCGAAAGAAGATGGATTTAACATGCGGAAGTGGAAAACAAATGAAACGAATTTACAAAAACTATGGAACGAAGAAGATTTTGCACAAGATTCGACTTTGTTTTAAAGTATTATACATGGAATAAGGTCAAATGATACATTTTTGATAGAAATTGAAGATTTGGTAAAAGATGCCAAAAGGATGGATAACATACCTAACTAAAAGGGAAATCTTGAGATTTGCACGATGTTTCTTTGATCCACTGGGAGTTTTTAAATCCATACACAATTGAGCTAAGATTTTATTGCAAAATTTATGGGAACAAGAAGATAGTCATGGGATACTGGAAATACCGGAAAATCTCAGGGAATTGGCAAAGCTGGTGTGATGAATTAGCTTCATATTTCTAGTTTGGAGAAATACCAAGACATCACAAGACATTTGCAGGTGCTGGGATAAAGGGACAAAAAGAATGGTTTACAGTTACACTGTTTCACAGATGCGCGAGTCAGGAAGACATATGGGGCTGTTCTGTATTTTCGTTATTCGAAAAATGGAGTCCATTCATACAAGCATCATTGCATCAAAATCACGAGTAGCACCTTTGAAAAAATTATCACTACCCAGATTCGGAATTTATGGACGCTTTAATAGGCTCCCGCTTGTCAAAATGTATCCAAAAAATAATCCAAAAGAAACTTCAGGACGTTGATTTAATTGCATGTTATGCATTGCATATGTTTTGTGAACTGATTCTAGTATGACATTACAGCTAAATTTCTAAGTGATGTGAAAAGGATGGAAAGCCGTTCGTTCAGAACAGAGTGAAAGGAAATACAGAAGAATTCAGATGTCGTTGAACTGGAGATATACGCCTGGTGAACATAATCCAGCTGATTTGCTAACTAGAAAGGTGAAAATGTCTCAAACATCTGAAGAAGAATAGTATATGGTGGGAAGGGCCCACTTGGTTAAAAGAAGAAATGGAACACTGGACAAAACCGAATTTATGTTCCAGAAAGAACATTGAAGATTCCAACAAGGAACTAAGAAAAACATGAAAGAAAGTTTTCGTAAATTCGTGTGTTACCGAACCTTCCGAAGATTTATTTAAAACCCAAAATTACAGCAATTTACACCGAGTTTACCGAATTACTGCGGGGTGCTTAAGGTTCATCAACAATGTTAAAAATACCTCGAAATTATCAGGATGTTTGCAGGTTACCGAATTGGAAATGGCAGAAACTTATTGGATCAAACGTGTTCAGGAGCGAAATTTCACAAATGACATACGGGCATTGAAAAACAACGAGGAATTAGGTTCAAAATCAAAATTGAAGTCCCTCAGTCCATTTGTAGACGAAAGTGGTGTAATTCGTGTTGGTGGATAATTAGAAAATTCAAATTTGGATTACAAACAAGCACATCCAATCGTGTTGCCCGACAAAGATCATTTGACTGATCTAATTATTCTTCACAGTCATCAGGCCCGGAGGAATAGCAGATACTTCAAATCAGATAAGAGATAAATTTTGGTTGCTGAAGGCTGGTCTAAAAATTAAAAGTGTTCTGTACAATTGCAATGTCTGCAAAATATTTCGAACTAAACCTGTCATGCAAGATATGGCACCTCTCCCACCAGACAGATGCCGAGAAGCCTTTCCGTTTGAAAACTCCGGGATAGATTACGCGGGTCCACTGTACGTCAAAAGTGGAAGAGAATTATCTAAGACATACGTTTTACTGTTTACCTGTGCTATAACTAGAACCGTGAATTTAGAACTTACAGCTGACCTTTCCACAGAAAACGTTTTGCTTGCATTTAGACGGTTCATAGCGAGAAGAGGTTTGTGCCGAATAGTGTATAACGCCAAAACCTTTAAAAGAGCGAAAAAAGAATTAGAGCTACTGAACGAGGTGATGAAAAGCAATGAAGTTCAAGACGAGTTCTCTAAGCAAGGAGTCAAATGGAAACTTATAGTTGAGAGGGCGGCATGGTGGGGAGGCTTTTGGGAGCATATGGTTTAGTCTCTGAAGGCTTTTCTGAAGAAAATCCTAGGCAAATCATCTTTGACATTCAGGGAATTAGAGACAGTCATAACAGAAGTGGAAGCTATGTTGAACTCCAGACCTTTAACATTTATATACTAGGATCTAGGAGAGCCAGAATCTTTTATCCCCGGTCACTTCTTAATAGGAAGACGGTTACTGTCATTGCCGTAAGGAAGCTCTAAATTAACTTCAACAAAGGAGAGTCTTACACGTCGATTTAGACAGATATTGGTAGAAAGAATCTGGCGAAAATGGAGGCAGGATTATCTGATGAATCTAAAATCTGCTCATCATTCCAAACTGGCGAAAACAGGAACCTGTTTGAAGAAAGGAACTATTGTATTAGTGCCTGAAGATAAAATTCCAAGGCTGATGCGGAAGATGGGCATCATAATGGAAATCTTTCCTGGAAAAGATGGCAAGGTGAGAGCATGTGCTGTCCACTTGCCAAATGGCCATACGATTAAAAGACCAGTGCAACTACTATATCCAGTGGAGCTGGAATGTAATAAGGACAATTACAGCAATTATCCTTCCAGGCCGGAGGATGTTGCAACTCAACTCTTGCTGAGATCCGATGGCTGAGTGACGTCATCTCGAACTATGAACTCTGTTTGAGAGATTGTACGAGAACTCGGAACGGAGAAGTCGCACGCTGCGTCGTGCCACATTTAAACACTTTTTCGTTATGTAAATATTCTGTAACCCGTTTGCGTCTTCATTAAATATGTTTGTGTAAAGAAAGTATTTATCAATTATGGATTATTCCCTTCAAGATTTTGCAGATAGAGATGCACAGAGGAGAATTCAACCCTGAGAAATGGCCCTGGCAGAACCCATTTTGACAAGGTAAGCAGTTTTGTTTTACCTTGATTAATTAGTTAGAAGTAACGATAACGATAGAAAAACAATAATAATATTGACAATCATAGAACTGTAGATGATCATCTTCATTCACTTACTGAAATAATTTAAACGCTGAAAAGGGTGCACCTGCTATGCAATTATAACAACTGATTAACAATATTTTATTTAATTGGTTGTTTAAGTACCATTTCCTATTTTGACAAATAACTACTTCAACTGATAGAGCGATAAAGCAGCAGGTGACATCAAGTCTTCTATTCTAACTCCTTGGTTAGAATAGAAGAAGAGATTTTCTTCCGCAATCTGAAAATGAAACCTACTGTTAAGAACTGTTCACATGCAATAATACTATTTGACAGCGTATTGAGCATTTTTATTTTAGGTCGATATTTTGAAAAAAAATATTGTTTAAAATGTGATGACAACTGTTTGAAAAATCGTTTTCTTTTTGAGTTGATGGAATTCTGATGAATCTTTTGCAGAGTGTAGAATTCAGATAATGTCTCTGATTCTTTAGTTTAGTTTAAAAGTAGAAAAAATTCTTTCTGTGTAAATAAATCACTTCGTTGATGTTATGAAAATTCTTATTTCTTTCAAGAAGAAGCATATTAGTTTTTACAGATAAGTGAATTATTTCCTCTGCGTTTCATTTAGTAAAATACAGGTCCATAGACGATATCCAAAATAATTGTGTTAATTTTTGTATACATATCCTAGCAAAATTTTTGGCGCCCGAATAGGGACGTTGAATGAGTTTAAATAATTTATAAGATACTTTAATTAATGTGTCATACTGGATATTGAAAAATAAGTGAAATATTTATTGTTTTCTGTTTTCATATTAGAGTGATTACATATTTTATGAAATTACTTGTATATTGAATTTAGTATACAAATATGTCTGTATTCTGAAGTAATTTACATTACGTTTATTAAGAAATTTTTTAAAGAAGATATACTGTTGTTTCGAAAGCATTGTAAGAAAAATAAGTGTTGAAGATTTAAAGATGAAACGTCGAATAACGCGTACTTAAGTACAAAGGAATTTTTTCACTAGAATAGTTAACGGTTAAAAAGAACAGTTAATTAAATGTGAACCTGAGAAAGTTATTTTGAGGGATAAATTCGTAAAATTGCAATGTTTATTGAAAAAACTGAAGGGCTTATAAGGTATTTCTTCCGCCTTCTTAGCACGCCTTCGTGGTGTAATGATCAGCACGTTTGGCGTGTATTCGAGAGGTCCGAGATTCGAGTGCCTGCGAGGACATTGCTCATTTCTTCAGTTTCTGACATCGAAAAAATTCTAAATGATTCTACAATTGCACCCGAATTAAAAAATATGGTGGATAATGATTCTCCACCACCAAGATTTGGCGATTGTGTCTCTAAATCAACAGCCGCCCATTTAAAAGGGGAGTAGATAAGGTATGCCTACCGCCTTCCTAGCATGCCTTCGTTGTGTAATGGTCTACACACTCGGCGCGTATTCGAGAGGTCAGAGGTTCGAGTCCCGGCGAGGGCATTATTCATTTTTCATATCTCCTGCTTCGAAATATCCTAATATTCAGAATTTTTGTTTTTGAGTCTGATTCTTCTGAAGATAATTTAAATGCGGAAGTTGAAGGTACTGAAGAGTACTTTAATGCGTTTAGTAGTATACAGCGCCTCGTCAGTGAAAATATGAATAGTTCTAACATTTGGATTAATGAGAATATCCAAAATGAAGAAGAAAATAAAATCATTGTTAAGGGAAAATGTTACAGGCTCTTTAAAATAGGACTTCAACGGAGACCTGATAAACTGGCTTTCCTTTCGGGCCCAGTTTAAGAAAATTCATGAGGGTGAGGATCTCGAAGAATGTGATAAATTTCATTATTTGTTGCAGTCAATGATGCTGAATATAATAACTTATGAATTAATTGAGCGGTACCTGTTAAGATCAGAAAATTTCAAAATATTATGAGAAAGCTGTTTGTGCTTTAAAAGAAAGATTTGGGAAACCGAACTTATTGACAGAAATTTATCTCAGAGATTTGCTGAAACTGATTATTTCTAATGTTCGTTCACAGGGAGAAAAATCTCTTACCTTTAGAAAAATTATTCGATAAAATTGAGTCCCATCTCAAGGCTTTAGTGTCCATCGGTTTGGACAAAGAGAGTAATGCAGCTTGGTTCCATCCGATGATTGAGTCAAGCCTTTCAGCAGACATTCTCCGTGCGTGGCAGCGACGTCCTGTCTTTAATATAGTCGACGAAAAAAGGAAATCACGCATTTCTCATTTGTTGGAATTTTGAATTTGAAACATAATTTACAGGTTTACAGAATATAAAAGTTAGCGACTTCTGGAAATTGGAAGCAATAGTTGTTACTTATGACGGTCAGATATTGTCGTAATTATCACGAGATAAACTTGCACATGAACAATTTTTAAGAAATTCAGCCAAATTCAAAGACGGACGATATTCTGTAGGGTTATGATGGACTCAGAAACGCCCCCCCCCTCATCCCTTCCAATCGTCATATTGCCGAAATTAGGTTATTTACTACAACTAGAAAACTTGAAAAACTAAAACTTTATGAGGATTACTATCAGGTATTTAGAGAATGGCTTGATTATGGAGTGATAGAGAAGATACCTGAAAATGATACTTTACGTGCAGCCGAGACTTGTTGGAAACAGTAATTTCTTATCTTTCTCATGTCTCACAGGGATATATAGACCGGCAGACAAGTTAGTGAAATCTTTTTATATGGTATATCCTCGGTAAAAAACTGTACTGAATTAACTAAATTTTTAACGATATCTACTAAAATAATGGCTGACGTGAAAATGTATTTGAAAATATGGTATTATGCTCCTTTTCAAGATATAGAAATAGACTACTTTCAATTATCATATCGAAGAAGTGAGCACGGTTGTTCCTTTTCTTGGTCTTAAATGGGGCGTGTTGATGACTTTTATAATTTACTCTGAAAATGAGTTTAAAATAGAAACCCATCAAAACGAAGAATTCTTTCTGTGACTCAAAAAGTATTTGATCCCGTAGGATTTTTATCACACATATTGCTACCTACAAAGTTATTAGTTCAACAAGCTTAGGCTGAAAATTTTGATTGGGATCCGCCTTTGCCTTTGGAGATTCAAAGTAAATACTTGCGATGGTATAATGAGCTTAAAGTACTTTCTGAAGTTAAAATACCTCGTAGAGTAGGATATAGGTTTCCAAACAATTGGACAATTCAAGTTTTTTGCAACTCAAGTTCAGAAGCATACCCTGCCGTGATGTTTCTACGTTGCAACAATCATGTGAAATTGTTATAATATTTTTCTCATTCAATCTCATGTTTCATCTTTGAAAATGCTAATTATTTCAAGATTTGAATTACTTGCTTTCCTTTTAGATACTCGCTTTTCAAGATAAATTGCCGAAGCTATGAATCTGCCGATCAGTAGCATAAAGTTTTCGTCAGATTCGACCACAGCAATTTCTTGGATCCATAGAAATGACAAATCTGGAACCTTCGTGGGAAATCAGAATTAAGGAAATGTTAACTTTAACTGAGGCCTTCCAATGGTCGTACATTCCAGAGAAGTTGAATCTCGCCGATTTAGCTTCTCGGCCTACACCCCACGACAGGTTTTGTACAGCAAATGTTGGGAGGTACCAGAGTTCCTGAGATCTGAAGAGAGATGATCGAATGTCAAAATCATTTCAGACGAAAGGAAAATTTCTTTTGAGCGAAAGAAGAATATCTTAGTAAATAGAAATGCAAATATTGAGGCTTACAAAGGTACGAGAAATTTCCTAGATTTTCCTGAATTATTAGAGCTCTGGCCTGGATGAGAAGATTCATAAACTACTCAAAAGACCGTAAAATTTGTTTGTAAAGACCGTCTTCTATCATCTTGCGAAATACAGGAAGCAAAAAACATCTTTTATTTGATCCTTCAATGAGAATAATTCCCTGATAGTGCTTCTACTAATTCAAAGGTAAAAAAATCTTTTTAGAGTTAAAAATAATAGAAACAGATGATGAATTTTCATTCAGCTATCCTATCCTACGTCTGTCAAAATATCATATGGTTGATTGTCTAGTTATGGAAAGT